TCTGATTTAACAATTTCAAGAGAGTATCAATGTTCAATAAGTAATACTTTCTTTAGAAGATTGACGTTTGCTTACAATAATATACATTTATATTCAACCTTATACCTGGTTAATTTTGAACACAGAAATATCTACACTCGACTCAAACCTTCATTATCTAATGCAGTGAAAATGTGAGTTCAAATTTAACCTTATTCAGTTTAATTTTAATAAAGTTGGGATGTAACGTGCGCTGTCATTGGCTGAAGGAGTGTCTTTCATCAGAATACAAAGCACGGAGCGGAACTATAAGTTGTCACGCCATCTGCCAATTTGTACAATGCCCGACCATTTCCCGGACTTCTCGTTAGCTTTTTTTCGTTAATTGAAAAGTCAAATTATTGAACAAGCGGGCCGGCAAGTTGCAACAGAAGAACTAAATAAAGGTTTGAAAACATGCCAAGTGGCGTAATTGATGAAACTGTAACGTGAACAAAGACGAATATCACCAAAGAGAAAACTAAATAGACTTTGTACACTCAGTTAGACTGTCATTTCAGTAAATGTAGTAATGAAGCTTGTACACAGCGAACACTCGTATGATATATGTAGTTTCGTGTCCGAGAAAGAAAACAGAGCTAAACAGGAATGATGAAAAAAAATAAACCAAACTGGCATAATTGTCAAGAATTTATACAAATCACTGTGTAAGAGAAACTGCGATCGTAGCTCATCACGGCGATCTCCGGTCATCACAGTGATGATTTACTGAGTGGAAAGTCACAACAGCCGAGTTTTAGGGACGCTTCCACCCCGAGAAATCTTCATGTTCTTGTGAATTCGGCTGTCGATCATTCATAAAACACACTTCTTGAGCAGTTTGTTTTTCAAGTTTCACGTTAAAAAAACTTGCGTGTTTTCACCAGCCATAATTTGGCCGAATTTACCTGAACATTTCACTTTCACATTTCACACTTTCACACACGAAAAAATTTAATTCGAGCTGCAGAATTGTTTGGGTTTGTGAACCGTTGCAGATTGTGAATAGTTTGACATTTTTGACAGTTTTAGTCTTCTTCAACCAATCAAATTATTTGCACCATTTTAACAAGGATTCTGACTTATTTTAGCGTGTTTCATGATAGTATGAAACATGCGGACAACCCTTTCGTTCTCTTCAAAAATTGAATTTTTTTTTGAAAAGTAGAGGGAAATGCGTGGGGATTTTGACGGATTCTTTATTAAAAAACAAATAAAGAAGCCTTGACTGTGTTCTGTTGTAAAGCACTCAAGAAGGGGCTACAGTACTCAAGAAGGAGGGAGAAACACTCGACCTCGTCTCGTATCTCGAATTGTTCAAGACAGGTGACTTACAAACTAGTCAAGTGTTCTCCCATCAACCGCTCAAGAGGGTTCCACAGAGGCAACTTATCTCTCGAAAATTCTCCTTTCGTATAGGTAACGACATGATTTCGAATGCAGTTTGGTGTTCGAGTACGAGTACAATTTCATTTTTCAAAGACAAAAAAATTGTACGAGCCCTTTCTTCTCTTAACGGATTCCGGCCAAAAGTAATTCCGTTAAAAGACGCTTAAAACGGCTCAAGAAGGAGAAAAAAATGACCACAAATGCATTGATTAACATTTCAATTAACTTCATTGAGATATTCACACCGAGATGTAATTTAGAAATGCAATTTTCAGAGCTTTATTCATAACCCTCATAGATTTTGTCGTCATGTCAACAATAATCATACCAAGAACACATAGTGTTTCAGCCAATCAGACGCGCGTAATTTTTCATGTATATCATTATTCCAATAATAGTGTGGGTGTGTTACCAACTGGGAATTCCTTCGTCAATTGCTCACTTCATCTAGCCTTACGACACATTGTTACCTTTTGCTGACCCAAAATGGTCATGTTTTGCCATCCTTAACCCAAAAATACGAGAGAAAACCTGGAAGTTACAGAACGGTGTCAGAGCTATGCAGCTGTAGTTTATTATATTTTATACAATTCTATCAGTAAGCTGTTGAAAGCATT